AAGACGTGATGAAGGGTGTAAATGGGACTATTCTGGCATACGGCCAGACCGCGGCAGGAAAGACCCACACAATGGAAGGTCCAGGGATGCTCATGGACGACCCCAAGCTGAAGGGAATTCTGCCGAGAGTTGCGCGAGCAATTTTCGAATGCATACACAACGCGGACGATTGCATCGAGTTCCTTGTGAAGCTGAGTATGGTCGAGATCTACATGGAGCGTATAAGGGACCTATTCGACACGAGGAGAGACAACCTTCAAGTGAAAGAGGATAAAGTGCGTGGAATCTTTGTGGCGGGAGCCACAGAGACGTACGTCCAAAGCGCGGAGGAAATGCTCCAGCTTTTGCAGGTAGGCGTGAGAAATCGTGCAGTGGGAGCAACTTCAATGAACGCAGGAAGCAGTCGCAGCCATTGCATTTTCATCTTAACCGTTCAGCAAACAAACACGGACGATTGCAGTGTGAAAACTGGCAAACTTTATCTTGCGGATCTTGCGGGCTCCGAGAAGGTCGAAAAAACGGGAGCGGAGGGACTACTTCTGAATGAAGCGAAGACGATCAACAAGTCGCTCTCGTCCCTGGGCATTGTCATCAACAATCTTGCGGATGGCAAGGCATCGCATGTTCCGTACAGAGATTCTAAGCTCACGCGAGTGTTGCAAGAGTCCCTGGGTGGAAATTCGCGCACTACATTGCTCTGCTGCTGCTCGCCAAGCAGTCTCAATGCGGCGGAGACACTCTCTACACTTCGCTTCGGGATGAGAGCAAAGCAAATAAAAAACAAGCCAAAGGTAAATGCAGAACGGGGACAGCACGAGCTCGAGCAACTGCTGCAGAAGGCGCAACAGGAGAACCACGTGATCCGCCAGCAGTTACAAAAGCTTCGTTTGGAGAATGAGAAGCTGTCAGGCCAAGTATACATTTTGACGCAGAAGCTAAGCACGGAGGACGGCGGGGATGACGATAGTGCGGCTGCTGCTGCAGGTAATGAAGTTGTATCGGCGAAACACACACCGGAACCTGTTGCATGCGACACTGCCGAGAACCTGCTTTTGAGTGTGAGATCGAGTGCTGCCACTGGACTTGAAGGCCCGCGAGCTGTGAATGAGACCCATGGGGCCATGGCAGGTTCGTCGGTAGCTGTCACGGTTACTGACCAGGACGACGGGTCATCGTGCCTGAATCCGAACCGTCACGGCATGCAGCCAAAGTCGCTCAGTGATGCATTGGCATTGGAGTCCGAGCTGGGTACGACGCCTGTTGTCGACGACCGAAAAGGAGTTGTGGGTGGTGCTACGCCTATTTTTCAAAACCAAAATGCGGTTATGCAGTGGGTTTTGGCGAAGTGCATCAAAGCGATCAAGCAGAGGCTGGCAGAGGAAGGAGTTGTGCTGCCAAGGAGCGAACTTGAAATGGATGAGACACCAGTGGGCAAACCAGACGCCTTGGGGGACTTCCTCCGTCTCTTGCAGAGCCCTTGCGGTGGTCCATCGTTGCCGATCTCCCCAGGCAGGAGCAAATCGGGGGGCGCTGGTTCAGGCAGCAGAGGGTGGCAAGGAAGCATGGAAAAAGTAGGCGAGGGGAAGGAATTTGAAAGCTCCAAAGAAAGTAAGAAAGACGGAGAAGGCGCACTATTGCAAATGGACAACGGAAATGGGCAAAGTACAGGTTCAGGGTGTGGGGATCACTCGTTCGCGTTTACCCGTATGAAGAGATCCCTCGCTTTCCTCGATAGGAACATCGACCTCTTATCGAAAAATCTCCACTTCCAATTGGAGAGCCGGCGGTCCCAAGTACAACCTGAAGGGGACAGTGATGGTGACCTGGTTGGTCCCAAAGATGGGGAATGGGAATATGCAGAGAGGGAATACGACAGAAAGAGATCGAGTTCCGCGCACGATATTCAGCATGTCTCGAGACCCAGAATTCTGAAGCCAGTCCGTGGCGGAACTCTGGCAGTAGCCCCCGAGGCACAAGCCCATCATGACGCTGGCACTGTGGCCTCCTGCAAGTCAAGAATCTGGTCAGGGATATGGGCAATATGGAGAAGAGCGCCACCAAAAAAAAAATCAGCACCAAGGTGTCCCACGGACGAAGGAGATTCTGACTTCTCTCTTGTAAAGTCAATATCCTTCCTTGAGTCTTTTATGGCAAATTTTGAAGGCAGTGTGCATCGAGTTTGAAATTTCGGAATCTGAATTCTGAACTTTTCCTTTCTCACTTCGGGACGGCACACATGGTGGTTGGGGGGTTGGGTTTCGTGCGGCTATTTTTGTTTGGGGGGGGGGGGGGGGGGGGGGGGGGGGGGGCGGCGTATTGAACATTTCCCTTTTTTTTTTCTTTTTCCTTTTTTGGACACTTAAACCACCACTACCTTTGTCACTGGACAAGTTGTAAAAGTAACCTAGTCCGGAAAATTTGGCGGCGGATGGTCGCTGATATTTTCCATCGACAGCTCCCGGCCTTCGCATTCGAATTTAGAGGCCCGCCACCGAGACGTGGAAGGTAGTGGTCCTTTAACTCAAAGTACATATCAGTCATTGTCTTGAATCTGCAATCCTTTTTTTTTCATGAAGATGCCGCAAGGGAGAGAGTTTTGCTCTTGTACATGGGCAGAGCAGAGCAGGGCAGAGAGACTGCAGCCACGCGCTTTGGCGCAGGGATCAACACATCCTGGTCGGTGGTGGAAATTACCAAATAAGTATATCCACGGGACACTCCGGTGGAGAATCCTTCGTTCATGTTCATGATGTAGATTCAAAACAAAAAATGACACTGGTGGTCACTCCATGCCGTGAATGACGAGTGTGGGTCCTTGGTCTAAGCCCGGTGGTTTTGGGGGGGCGATTCGATGAGGGACCTAGCTAGCACGTTAAACACGCCGCCTGGGGAGTACGGTCGCTAGGCTGAAACTCGAAAGGGATCGACAGGGGTGTGCACAAGCGGTGGAGAACTTGAATGTGGTATAATTTGTGAGAAGGGCCAGCGATAACGTATTTGGGGCAACTTCCAGTCCAGATGCAGTGACAACGACCGGGGCAACTTTCACTCCAGCAATATTTTGGGATTGTGTTTTAGAGTTTTGGAGTTGTTAGAAGGACATTGGAGAAATCTTTTTTTGTGTGTGCTTTTTTTTTGGGGGGGGGGGGGTTGGAGAGAGGGGGGAGGGGTAACTAGGTTTTAAATCCAGTTCAGGCATCCCTCGAACACAACACATTCCCACCCAACCCTAAAGCTAGGTTGTATACATTCACAATTTTCCTCGGTTTGACACAACACTCGCCAAATTTTGACTGAAGCGCATTTTCAATCTAAAACCGTGACTGCACCCCAGTTTTTTTCCCTGTTTTTTTTTTTTTTTGACATTGACGAAATCTTGCGGGACTGCATCAAGAGGGTTTTGTGAATTTCTTGCTGGACTGCAGTGAACCCAGATCATGAATACGATTGTCAACAATGCAAGTCCAGAATCTCAAGTTGCCGATACTTCCAATAATCGAGTAGTGTCCAGAAAGAAGGAGGTGAGATAATCATACACAGACGAAGAGAGAGGAGGGAAATGAGACAAAGGAGAGGGAGAATACACGGCCCACTCCTTCTCCAGGCTCCCTACATAATCGCCACCTCACAGAACCAGTAATCTGAACACATAGCCGAAGTCCATCTACAATGTGCCACGTGGCACCTAATCAGTCCTTAATCAGCGCTGGAGCAATGTCAACATGAAGATCCCAGGTACGTAATCACAACCTCCTCACAGTCCCGATCTCCTCCTGAAGTGACGATGAAACAGCATTGATCTCTCCCTGAAGTGATGATGGAATAGAACAGCAATGCCTGTCACATAGACCCGGCGAAGTCATACGTAGCAGCAGCCACGTCAATAGCAACACGTGGCAGCTGCCACGTCAGCAAGCCTTGTAGACAGTAGCCAGCCAGTCAGCGCACCAGCCAACAGCGCATTGCTGTATTCTCGCCAATGCCAGCGTCATGCTAGCGACCACCAGCGTCGCAGCGTCAAGCCTGCGTCACGTCGTCAACGCGTAGAGTCAGCGTCAACGCAAGACAGAATGAATGAATCAATGCCAGGGAGTCAACTCTTATGTAGTGTTGACGCGGGGTCTGGACCCCGGATGCTGTATCCCTCGGCCGTCCAGATCTCAATGCGAATGAGGGCTCAGATCGGCCTGCAACCGAATTCCCTCCGGCCTGGATGCTGTCTGGGTACCTGCGCACAACAAGTGAATGTATCCATCCCAGAGCCTGGGTGCGGTACCTTTGACTGTACAGTTGACTTTGACTCTTGAATTTCCTGTGTGCAGTGTTCGGTCGCACAGCCGCGCTCGACAGACTCAGGCCCGGGTGTGTCTTGGTCACACAGCCCGGCGCAGGCCAACTTAGGTCTGCGTTTCCAGGGGCCGGGTTCTGGCCCCAGGCGTCTTCTGAACAGGGTTACTGCAGAGGGTTTTCATGAGAGCAAATTGGAAGTGGAGACTTGTAGGAGGTTTAGACGATTGGGTGGGAGGTTGTTATGGAAGGGCTAGCTGCCAGCGTGCAGTCTGATGAGCAATTAATCGTCTAAACCTCGTTTGAGGGCAATCAATGCTGCTCGTCAGCCACAATTCATAATTTGGCATTTGCTCCGTTTTCTGTTATTGGGACGCTGGACCCGGTTTCCAGCGGGCACAGCTCCCCACCAATGGATGGGAGCCATCTATAACAGGGAGCCTATTATTGCAGAGTGCTCTTATCTCGTCGATGTGTGCTTAAATAATGAACGAAGAAGGAAAAAAAAAAAACAAAAAAAAAAAAACAGAAAAATAAAGCATCCTTTTGCGCATCATGAGAGGGGAACCTGACAAGGCAACTTTGTTGCGAGCTTGGAAGCAGAAAAAAAAACACCATAAAGATGCAGGAATTCAGGATGCAAATTTGCAAGACCATAATAAGAGAGAGAGAGAGAGAGAGAGAGAGAGAGAGAGAGAGAGAGAGAGAGAGAGAGAGAGAGAGATTTCGTCGTTGCTTTTCCATGCACAAGGTGGGGACCACATTTCGATCAAAGTGTCAGATAGTGAATTTGAAAACACCATTATTTTCAACTGCCATTATTTTCACCTCTTGCATCTTTGAACTCCGGGCAGCCGAAATCCAGCCAGTGATTTCCAATCGGAATACAGAAATTGAGAGATCGGAGATTGGAAAGGAAAGGGGGAGAGGGTATAGGAATGCGTGGGAGGAGGAGGGTTGGTGGGGGGAAGGGAGGGATGAGGAAAGCTGTTCAGCACCGGCATTTGCTCGGTGTGTCGCACACGTTCTGCAATGATTTCAGCGGCTTCAGCCCATCAGTAGCCTGGGGACGCACTCACAAGACGGTTGTGTTGCTCACTTCGGACTAGAAATTTTATCGCATGTGTGTACTCGTGTTATCTCTGAATTACCGAGGGCAGAACCCCTCGATAATATCATTGGGCACCAGACCCCAATGTGCGATAATCCGAGCAGCTGTGGCACAATCTTTGGGCGTTATCGGGTTGTCTATTACCTCGTATTGTCGGATCCTGTCCTCGAAACAGAGTCGAAAGTTAACTGTTTGGTTTCCCTTAAATCAGCCAATTACTGTACCTTGCAGCAAGTTTTGCTAGTGCGCTGTTTTCACATTTTCTAAACCACCAGTACTTCCGAGCCACTTCTTCACGGGGCCGCAAATGCCCTGTGTGCCAAAAAAAAAAAGAATCGCCACGGGCCTTCTTTCAACTGGCGCCACCAGCCGCTTTGCGGCAGCCGCGTGCACCTGAAAATGGCAGCCACATGCCTGCCAAGAGGAAGATAAATGGCTGGCAAACGTGCTGGCGGCTTAAGCCAATGAAAACAGAAAGTACCATACTTGCAAGCGGACGCCGTCCGGGTGGTTCCGCACGTGCGGCAGACTGCCGGACCGGACCCGCGCGGCGCACAAATGTGCCCCCGGCGACCAGTTACGCCCCACCCCCTAAAAAAAATAAAAAAATGGCCCTGTCCGGTCCAGTCCGGTCCGGTCCGGGTCCGCCTGGTCCGGGGGGAGGGTGCCGCACGCGACAAAGCGGACTGGACCGGACCGGACGCTCGTCCGGTCGGTCTGCTTGCAAGTATGGAAAGTACACTTTGATCTATTTTTAGCCACGGCCCATGGCTGTTTTACCCGGTATTATCGGACTGTATCTTCCAGAGTTTACTATTCAGTTTTCCTTTTTCTTTTCTTTTTTTTTTTTTACTATTAAATCGGTCCATTACCAAACTTCACCTCAAGTTTTGCTCGTAAGCTCTTTTTTCCTTTTTTGTAAGTTATTTTAACGTTTGAACTTCAAAGCTGACCAGAAGAGAAACTACTACTACTAGTACTACTACTACTACTAAAAAAAAAAAAAAAAAACATGAAAACAAACCAACCAGTGGCAACCACACTTGATCTATGTTTAGCCAACAATGAAACGGCAAAAACAAGTTGGTCACCAGCCCAGCGGTGGCAGACCGACATGAAATCATACTACCACCATGCTTTTGGACAGCGGGACTCGGCCCTGCCGCGCTGCGGCCCTGCTAAAGTCTCACTGATCTCAGCGAGGGGTAGGTGCGGTGGTAGCCGCAGCGCCACGACCGGTCCTTGTCTACGCTGGAAACGGTTGGAGCCCCAGGACTGGCTATAGTCATAGAAAGTGAAGTTTAGTTTTTTTGTGTTATATATAGGCACAAAGGACTGCCCACTGCCCAGTGAATAGCACAGGTAGAAAGGGAGAAAAGGACAGCGCAACACAACAGAAGCGAGTGATGTAGAAAAATAGCACATCATGCGAGGCCTTACTCTCTTGGAGGAGAACAATAATGGACCTCACTCCACTACTAACCACGCGCACAGAAAGACAAAAATTAGGGTCGCACATCTTTCCATGCTCTAGCGGAAGTTTCATTTCTCATTTTGCAAATTTGCTGAGTAGGGCAAGGACGCTCAATGGGCCTGGCTGTACTACTCTCCAAAAACAAATTCTGCAAAATGAGAATGAATCTTCCCCTGGAACATGGAAAGATGCACCACCATATTTTTTGTCTTTTGTGCATGTGGAGAGTCGTGCAGCCATGCCCATTGTCTGAAAAAGTTGAAAAAAGTTTTGAAGTTAGGAAAAGCAGAATTGAAATGGTCTTGTCACTCAAGTGGTCACTACAGCATTTGCCCACCCGCCTCGTCCACTCACACCAAATCAAATGTGGGGCTGTGACAGACCCCTTTTTGTCAAAGCTTCACAATCTAGAAGTTTCATCAAGAGGCTGAACCCTCTAAAAAGGGTCTTGCCCCACTACTCTCCACTACACAAAAATTTGGATAGCGTTTGTATAGTTGTCACACTACACAAGATGGTCGAACCGTCGAACGATTCGAAAACGCGTCGTCACTCCACTAACTCTACAGCTCCGATAGCGTTTGTATAGTTGTCACACTACACAAGATGGTCGTACCGTCGAACGATT